AAAAATCATACAATGGAATCTGCCTGTGGCTCTGCGTAAAGTCGCCTCTGCGCAGACGCCAGGGTGACCATCCTATCAAACATGCGCAGCGTTCTGATACAAGCCAGTCTAAACTGATCAGAGGTGCTCATTTCGGACAAATCTGGGCAGTTATCCGCCTCTTCCAGCGCGTTCATTGCTTCGGCATCTAAAGGAATTTGTGCAAAAGATCGAGGAATTAACAAACGGAGAAAAGCTGGAGGGAGATAAAAGAATGGCTAAACTATCATAGTCGAGACTAGAACGATCATTTTTTAGCGTAATTACCGTCATCAGACCGTCCCGGACAAGTACCTCAGACTCAAATCAGAGTCAGTCAGTTAAAGAGTCGTAAACTACTGTTTTGCCACTTGAACTACAGGCTCGCGTACTGCCCTCCCGGACAAGATGCGCAGTGGTATTTTGCGATAAATCCTGCCTTTATAATTCTAAGGTGCTTCACTAGGTGAAAGTCGCGTGCAAAATTATAATTATGGAAATTCCTCAAATATATTCTGAGGTATTGAAGTGCTATTTATAACGTTATTAAATATGTTTAAACATCAAAGTCCTGCAGAGCAAAAATAAATCGTCAACACTTGAGTCATGGTTCACGGACCCCAAATCCATAAACAAGTGCAACGATTTGTCAATCCATATTCCGTGCTGAGACTCAATTTGGCCAATTTGAGGAGCAGACAGGCCTCCGCGTCATCCTACGTCGACACCGGAGGGCCAAATGGCCGAGTAATCATCACTCCCGAGTCCACCACGCGTGATGAAAGTTCAGCAGGCCAGAGTCCGCATGCCGTTCAACAAACTATCAACACGCAGGAAGGCAATTAAGATTAATTGTCCTTGTACGTTTGCAGTAATGACTGTATCCTATTAATACTGCAAACTCCTGTGCATACGCTACCCGTATCTGCTACTGCTGTCTGATTATGTCTCTGATGACAAATCCGCGACGGACCTCGAAACGACAGGCGAATAAAAGTATTGTCCCAGCGATCGAGTCGTCTTCTCAAAATTAAATCATTTACGCGAAAATGAACAACGCAGGGCAAGCTGAAATTCTACATATACGGTAAAGAGAAAACTTTCAAGGCAAACGTAGTACAACTTCTAAACTACAGTTTAGAAAACATGTATAATATAAGAAATAATTGGGCATTCTTGCTAGTAACGGTAGCCGAATCAGTAAGGATGATTTGCATAGCTGCCGAGACCGGAAACGGGAATAGGAACGCACCGTCCACTTTAAGATGCGGCTTTTCGATAAATTTCGGAATGGACGAATATTTCCTTGCCTTAACCGTAACACAAGACTAAACTGTAACCCGAATCTGTACCCTACTCTAAACTTAAAATCCACAGTTAACAGGAATCCAAACCTCAACCCTTACCATAAACCTGACCCTAAGCCCAACGTTGACCCTAATCCCAAATGTGAACTAGGCCTAAACTTAACCCTCACATTAATTCTAAACCAAATTTTCCCGGAATTTAGCGCAAAGCCACATGTATTGTTGGCGGTTCCTGTTTCGTTGGCACAAAAGTCATCCTCACCCCTGAATTTATACGAATCTATCAAGATATGTAAATCACCTGGAGATTTCAGTCCTTGTTACTCAGTTTTTCATATTTAACCAAGTGAAACCATACCTGAAATATCTAAATCAAAGAGTAGTGTGTTTGGCAGCCGCTGGTATTTTTTTTTATGAAAACAGGCCAGCTCACGAGCTCGACCAGTAGTGATAAAAATACTTTTCAGTTAGGGCACCATGGAGTCAGCCGCTGTCGAAAGGATAAACAGAACTACACAGAGAGGGTAGCTGTTTATGTCTGGTATGTACTAGAAAGATAGGTTGGCAAAGCAACTGCACATATGACAGTCCCCGCTCTTAAGCAATAGAATTTTGGTTCCTAAACTGTCCTGGACTTCACAACTGGACTAGGAATGATGCACTACACACACTTAACAGGAAGCCGCTCATTCGTGTGGTGGTACGCCTTAGACGTGCGTTTGTGCGGACTGGCTGACTGAGGGTTGGACTGCAATGGCTCCTTCTCAATGTGGCCTTTATGACACTGTCACTCGGTGGGATCCGAACCAAGCCTGACGACACGCTTAGGAGCGGCTCCGACCGTCCCAGTTACCTACATCCTCTTTAGCCTCCGGTCTTCTTGACCTAGTCAATACCTCGGGCCTAGGTGGGGTAGGAGGAGAGCGCAGCGGAGGCAACACACTTCTACTAGAACTTAAAACTAATACACGCATTTGCCATCAGCTTGCTGAAAGCAAAGGAGAGCGAGAGAGGGAGGGAGTGACCCACCTGAGTCAGCAGCCGAGCGGCTAGGTTTCCCAAGACTCTGCAGGAGACAAGCTACCATGCGTTCATGGTCTTTTGTGACCGCAGCAGCGGCATTAACTATCATGGAAAGACTGGTCAGCATGATTGTGGCGATGCGTGGACTGAGACTGGGGAAGGCACAGGTGATGCGACAGAATGGAGGCAGACAGGCCAGCAGCAGCGGTGGAAGCTCCTCCACACTGACAATGCCTAAAATATAGGGAGGGGCGGAGGGGGGAGGGAAGAAAGGACATGTAAAGTTAGTGCTTATGCAGTTTTGAAAACAATCCTATAGTAACCCAGCCAGGCCTTAGATAGCATCTGGCAAACTCTATTAGGGCTAGCTTTCTGGGTTAATGAAAACTTCTATTAAGTACTGCAGGTTGAAAGCAATGCAAAACCGAATAATAACTTCTAATAATTTAGTGACTAGCGTCTTAAAGAGAAGTTCCTTTTTTTCCTTTTTTTGCATCAGCCAGTTTTTAGCAGATAATCGTGTGTGGCGCAGAAATACAAAATGCTGTTTACTAGAAAGGAGCTCAGTTCACATCAGTAGACTGGGAGCAACAAATGGTGAAATGGGACCAAATCCAACGCTTGTTGATATCTAAGGAATTTCCTAAGCTATTAAACGCACCGGTACAAAAAGTCTTGTTTATGCGTGTCGCACTATAAAACGAAAATAATAAAAACGTAGAAAGGTTTTAACTATGCCTTTTCAGAGAAAGGAAAATTTCATTCCGCTTTCATGAATTTAAGTTAAGTGCGAGTATGAGAAAACACATTATTTTCGGAAAATTTTATTTTGCAAATCTGGTACGTTTTGCACCATAAAATAAAGTAATAAACTTGTGCAATAGCAGTTTGTTTTAATACAACGAACACTTTCCTCTGTAACATCGTATGCGAAAGATGTCCAAACATTTTCAATCTACGCTAGATTCTAAATGCATACCGAAAGTTGAAACGAAATGGACAAAAGACTAACACTTTTTGCAAGATGCTAACACATATTCTGCCAGTCTGTTGTGCATTTGCAACCTTAGAATGGAGCTTAGGAGTAAAAACATATACTGAAAACCATTCAAATATTTGCATCCCAAGATAATAATCATGAGAATAAGACTTTCTTTGGGAAATTTTCAATTTCATTGCGCGAATTTTCGACACGGACCAACCGGTCGTCGTCAGACGTGGAAAAATTGTGCA